TATATATATATATATATATATATATATATATATATATATATATATATCTTGTGTCCTTGGCATGATCCTTGAACATTGAAATTTTGGTTAAACTTTTGCCAAATGAATTATTTGTTCCACAGGTAAATCACCATCTTCTCAAATTACTTCAGTCTTTAATCGGATCTGGTGCAAAGGAGAGCCTCTCCGAAAGCATGGAGGTTGGTATAAGAACGATATATGATAAATTAGTTTAGCCGATGAATCACTATTGGCTTTCATATCTGATGATAATTGTGGTTGTAGATTCTATGCAGAATCTGAGAAAGGTTATCACATGGAACCATTCAGTCTCATCTCTGTCATCATCATCATCAAAAATCCCTCTTACCTCAGCAACAAAACATGATGAGGAAAATACGCAAAGTGATTTTACTGAAGAATTTTGTATGATTTCAGGAAGTCATTCATCCACATTGGACAGGCTATATGCATGGGAACGCAAACTGTATGATGACATCAAGGTAGTCTAATCTAATCACTCCATGCATGACAAACAATTTCACATTCAAGTAAATAGGCTTCCATGTTATGAAAGTATGAATCTTAGTAAAGAGACATGCTACCTATTCATATTCTTTTTTCTTTTCTTTCCATTCACACATGTATAGGTTACATAACTTTAGTTTGATTGATGATAAAATCTTCATGATATCATAGAAGAGGTATTGTTATATAATGTTTGCAATGAATCTATAATAAAGAAAAGATGACCCAGTGCACAAGGCTCCTATCAGTGCTTTGTTTAAGAACGATTAACGTATGTGGTCTTATCTTGAAAAGCTAGTTCCATGGCTCGAGATCTGTCCAAGTTGTAAAGGAGCTACCATGATGCCAAGGCTCAACCTGATCCTTGGATATGTAGTGCTACACAATTTTTGCAACCTGTATTAACAGTGTTTGCTCTTATGTAATCCAGCAAAATAAACATAAGAAAAATATTTATTTGATTCTTTGCTTGTCAAGCTTATTGTAGTTCCACGCTACCAAAATTTACCTGAATTAGTCTCATGATTTTACAATCTTATTAACAATGTTTGCTCTTATGCAATCTAGCAAAATATGCATAAGAGAAATACTTATTGATATTTTCTTTTCTGGTTAAATTTATTGTTCTTGCACTCTGCCACAGTATATCTGAATGTTCCTTTTTTCTGACATACAGTCTATTGAGTATATCAGGAAGGTGTATGATCAGAAATGTAAGCAACTCGGACATCAATGTGCAAGAGATCTAGATGCAGGATTGATTGACAAAACTCGGGCTGTTGTAAAGGATCTTCATTCTCGATTAGGAGTGGCTATTTGGTCAGTTGAATCAATTTCAAAAAGAATTGAGAAGTTGAGGGACGATGAGTTGCAGCCTCAACTTGTGGAACTGATGCAAGGGTATGTTGATGAATCTTGTTCTGATTTTGTTTACTTGAGAAAATTCATGTTTCGAAGATATTCACAAACCCAAATTTGAATGATATTTAAGTTATTTTAACAACACTGACTTAGATCAATGAAGTTACATTGAATACTTTTTGTTGCATCTTTCTGTTAAAAAAAATGAGGCATTTATCATCATACTGCATGTTTCATGTCGAGTTTTTAATTTGATGTGATGTTTCAATTTGGATTATCTGTAGGTTGATCAGGATGTGGAAAGCTATGCTTGAATGCCACCATGCACAATTCATCACGATAACATTAGCATATCTAACAAAGAGCTCAACCGCAGCAGCACTTGGCGAACCCTATCGGCAGGCTTTAAGCCACCTCATAAATGAGATGGGCTACTTCAGCCATACCTTTTCGATTTGGGTCAGTGCTTATAAATCCTATGTAGAGGCTCTCAGTACCTGGCTTCAGAAGTGTGTCTTGCACCCCCAAGAACGCAGGAAGGGAAGGCGGGTCATCTTTCCTCCTCATCAAGCATTATCTCCGCCTATATTTGTGCTCTGCAATGGTTGGCTTCATGGACTCGAGTCCCTTCCTTCCAAGGATCTCTGTGATTCTATTGAAGAGATCATGTCAATCCTACATGACTCCTTTGAGCAGCCAACAGAAGCTGAACAAGCTGGAAAATTGGCCAACGAGCCAGAAAATAGCAGAGGATTTGACGGCAAGCAAGTGCGAGACTATGGAAGACCTTCGAACTTAGATGAGTTGAAGACAGGATTGACAAGGCTTTTTGATCGGCTGACAAAGTTCTCCGAGACATCGCTGAAGGTCCATGAAGATGTGAAGCAGGGGATTGAGATAGCTTCCATTGCTTATGCAAACATAGTAGTTTAGCTGGTAAA